CATGGATTACAAAAAAAAACAAACATTTCGATCATGGATTACAAAAAATTCGATCATGGATTACAAAAAATTCTATCATGGGTTACAAAAAAAAAAAACGCAAAAAATTTGATCATGGATTACAAAAAATTCGATCAAGTATTACAAAAAAATCTATCATGGATTACAAAAAAATAAAAAATAAAAAAAAATTTATGTTCTTCCGTACGGGACTCGCCGATTCCGTACAGTGAATCGGCGAGTCACTGCCGATTCGATCCGTCCATGGCGATTCCCGAGTCGAACCGGGCGAGTCCGGTTCGACTCGGCGTTTTTTTAAACACTGGGGTAAAGATATTAATGAAAGAAGCTAGGTGGTCCCACAGGACCATGGGTGAAACACCTGGCTAAGGGGATTTGATGGGCCTAGAAATCTCAAAAATTCTCTCTATTGATTAAAGAGAAATTTATCAAAATAACATATGAGATCAACTATTTGACATTTTATTTGTATTGATTTAAGTTCAAAATACGGAATAGTTGAAAAATGCTAAACAGTCAAATTGTTAAACAATTCAATTTATTTTGATTAATTTCCCTAATTAAAAGAAATGATTTGTAGCACAAGACTCTTATATCAATGTCCCTTAGAAAATTGAATAAGGACATGCTGTTTTCATAAATGGTAGATCAAAGGAATCTTGAGCTCAAAATTTTTTTTTTTCCTTTCCAAATTGACCTTAGTACACATCAAAGATGATATGAGGACATTTTTAAGGTCAACAGAACTCCTTGAAGTAGGCATCCTAGTGATAGGACCTTACGTACAATTTGATCCTTCAGGACTACCATATGAGGAAGTCTTGTTTCTGAGTTAAAAGCTCCGGCATTTTGTTAAGTTCCTAACTTCCCATGTACAACGCATGGATTTTATATGACCTTTACTAGGGAAGATACTGTAGCCATGCTCTTTAATGAGCACCAACATTTCCCGTAAGAGTTGGACAGTGGTTAATTTTTTTACACAAACAACACTATTTCTATTATAGAAATTCTAAGTAATGGGTGGATTGAGTGCGTGAAACTCAAAACAAATCTATCCACTAGACCTCCACATTCTTTCACGAGAAACAAAGAGATTTTGAAGAAGGTATATCTTGCAACATTTTTTCTTGACCGTTTTATTTTAAATTTAACATTATAAGGTGGAAATCAATTCAAATGAAGTGTTTTGGATCCTCATTCCATCTCCAAGATAGAGTTTTGTGCTTCAGCCTCAATGGCGCCAAAACATTTTCCAATATAGTTTTATATGTTATAGACTTAGGGTGCATTTGATTTTCTGGATCTTTTAGAAGTGGGAGTTGAACATTCCAATAACTCCCACTTCTGTGTTTGTTGTCACCCGTGGGAGCCGCAAAGTGGAAGCGCGGTATTCCACCGGGCTATTTGCTCGGGGCAATTCCATGTCCCACTTCCAAAATGTTTACAGAATCAAACGATGCACTTAGAGTGGAAACGCATAACACCATTAATGAATATCTAAAGTATAAATCTACGGTAATTATAATAATCACATAACTAAGATGGCAATAACCATGACAATGTTATGAATATTAATATTAATATCATTATTAATGTTATTGTTGCCACAGGGGAGAGAAGCTGAACTTAACTAGCCTTGAAGGATGGATGAGAGGGAGGAAAGCACCAGCCTTGGCATCATCACTGTCTCTATACAATGAGATTAAAGGGAAGGGGATTAAGATCTTCTTAATCTCTAATCGTGGGGAGCATTTGAGAGATGCCACTGTCGATAACCTCTTTGAAGTCGGTTACACTGGATGGACCGGACTTATCTTGAGGTATGAACAATGGAATGTATTTGATATACACACATAAATACACACACAGAGCGGAGGTGTATTTATGTGTGTTCATGTTAGAGAGAGAAGATTTCTAGATGATGTGAAGTGTTGACTCAAATTAGTTCTTTTCGTCTAAAAAAGGTGATGACCTTAAATTTTTTCTTAACCTGTCCGATGTCAGGGTAAAGGAGCTGGTTGTGTTAAATAGGCAGCCAACATAAAATTTTATCAAAATTTGTCATGAATTCTAAACTTACTGTATTTGCTTATGTTAGGGCATTCCCCAAAAAAAGATACGAGGACTTATGACCTCACTGAGGGTATGATCTTTAATAAAGCAGAATGGTTAATCAAGATTCGTGTAGCCGATCCCAATTAATTGGAAAAAGACTTTGACAATGATAATAATGATTGTGTGTGTATATTTTTATGTTTATGGGCGTATATATGCATGTTAGAGAGAGAGAATGTGTGTCGTAGTAGATGTTTTGAACTATGAAAGGTTGGCTGATTTGGTTATTTTGTGTGTGTTTTAGAGGGGATGAAGATTGTGGGAAGTCTGCACAGAAATACAAGGCAGAGAAAAGGCAGAAATTGGTGGAAGAAGGATACCGCATTTGGGGAATTGTTGGAGATCAATGGAGTAGCCTCTTGGGACACCCACATGCAACAAGAACATTCAAGCTCCCTAATTCCATGTATTATGCTTAGAGATCAATGGATTAATGGAGAGCCCACACCCACATGTATTAAGCTCCCTAATCGTTGGAAATCAATGGAGTAGCCCCTTGGGACACCCACATGCCTTTTTCACTCCTATTTATCATTTATTTTCCACCAATAAATGCAAAGACTATTCTTCTTTTGTGTGTGATAATAATTTGTCTATGCTCTTATCATTTTGGACACGGTTTCTATGAGTCCACGTGGAAATAAGTCACCTCTTAAAAATCTATTTTTGAGATGGATTTTTAAACCTAATTGTTAAGAACATGTAATCCCTAATATAGGCATCATGAATATGTAAAATAAATAAATTTTGAAAATTAAAAATAATAAATTTATTAAGAAAACATTTGGACCGTTAGTTTCAATTATTTTTAAATGGACCACCTATTTGCATCCATCCTTAAAATGAATGCTTATACCTCGGGGATCGCAAATGTAGAAATGCGGTCCCCACCACATGAAACAATTTTCCTTGTCTTTGTATTCTCTCAATTGGTATATGTTTGTATTTCTATTACTAATAAAAAGTCTTGAAGGAAAAATATTCTATTCTCTATTAAGTAGGGTGAGCAGACCAATCATCCATCGTCCATCTTCCATCTTCATCAATGATGGTGGAAATGAGCTATTGAGTGTTAATGGTGATAGAAATCACCTATTGGGGGGCATGTGTCTTTTATATATTTTTAGGCCTTTTTTGTTACTATTAAAAGATGAGTAATGTAAAAGGTGTAAAGGGCCATTTGGGCATTATTTTTGCTCTTGTTTTTCTCTTTTCTCTCTAGAAAAGTAAGTTTCCTTTGGTAGAAGTGAGAAAGAGGAAGGAAGGTGTGAGTTTTTGTTGTTTCCATAAAAAGTGGTTTGCGAGGATTTTCTATCAGTTCACTTCATTGAGGTAATATTGTATTTTTCATTAAATTTTTTTTTATAGTGAAATATTCATTTGCCGTTTTGCCCGTGGTTATAGCCTTACAGGGTGAACTACATAAAACCACTGTTGTGGCTTGTTCTTGATTTTTATTCATTTTTTTACTTTATTTCTTGCATTTGATTTATGGTTCTATTTATCTATTTTTTGTTTAGTCAACTATGTGCACGATCTTTGACAGGATCCAATTATTTATGATTTGTAGCTATGCTAGCGAGGTGTTACCAAGGACCCTACAATTGGTGTCAGAGCGTTATATTTGTGCAATATTTTTGGGAGGAGAATGGTGAGTAATCTGTTTGGCGTACAGAAATTTGATAGGCAAAATGATTTTGAGAAAATAGCCTGGAATCCATGAGTAATGAAGATTGAGGAAATGGAACTTAAGGCTATGGTTACAATTTCTCTTCTTTTTTTTTGACAAGAAAGGTTGTGGTTACAATCCAATTGTGTTTAGCAACTAAAATCTTATTTAATCTAGTGGGAGAAACAACGGCAAATGGTTTGTGGGAGAAATTGGTGAGTGTTTACCAAAACAAATCTCCTACAAGTCGTATTCCATTAAAGAAACAATTGTTTAACTTAAGGATGAAATAGAGGACAAAAATTTCAGATCATTTGAATACTTTCAACCAATGGTTTAAAAAACGGATCGGTGACCTGGATCGGTTTTTTGTCGGATCGGGCTTTCAAAAAATCGATCTGGATCGGCGAATCGGCTATCCGGATTTGGAATCGGGTGAATCGG